ATGATGGGACAGATACTGCTCAGGTGATAACACTTTGTTCTATCCGGAGAATTTGAGTTGATTATTCTTTCCATGAGATTATTATGATGATAGATGGTTTGATTACTTGTGCCTAGCTATTGATTTAAATGTTCTGAATTGTTAAAAGGCGTCTGGAGCATATGTTTTTCGCCCTGATGGTTCACCAACTCCCATCAGATCCAACGGGAAGGTGAAGTTCTCTATCTAAAAATTTATGTCCAATTACCAACATTTAGTGTGGTAATAAATTATTGAGTTACCTTCAAAAAAGAAATTAATGAGTTTTTATTTAAAAACTTTCAGTCTCCTCTCACGATTTTTCGGGGACCAATTGTGCATGAAGTGCATCAGAAGATCAACTCATGGATATACCAGGTAGTTATGTAACAATCTATTTTTGGCCTGGTCATTTTGTTTTAATGTGATCTCTCTATTAAACAAGTTTCCAAATCTGTCTTCAGAATCTGTTACCGTTATAACAAAGTACAATGTCGTAGGATAAAAGACAAAAAATATAAGTTATTATTGGATAATATTTTTAATTTTTAATTTGGTTGCCACACACTTTGCAGTAATTGCATGTCAATTTTACCATATTATAGAATTTAATTCTTTTATATAGATAATATGTGTAGTCTTCATAAAAAAATGTGTAGAGGAAAAAAAAGGACGTAAAAGGAAAGAAAAAAGACATTTATTATGTTTAGAGTTACAACTTTTTGATTCTTTCAAACATTTATGGTTCTAATATACTTGCACAAGTATGTGAGAGACCGAGAATAACATGAATTATTGTAGTAAGATAAGATATAAAACTTTTCTAATCTGTTAGAGGTATGCTATGTAGGCTTATTCTTTAGCGTCCATTATTGAAAGCTTCATATAACTCAATATTTGATCATGGCTTAATTGAACAGACCACCAGACTATACAAGGGGAAAGAGCATGCTGAAGTTGAGTTTGCTGTAAGTCATTTTTAATTTCTCCCAATTTTTTTTTCTGATGCGGGTACTTAGAATTTTATTCTCTAAGAGCCAATAATCAAGATGAAACTCCTGACATCAGGTTGGACCTATACCCATTGATGATCGAGATGGCAAAGAAATTGCAACTGAGATCAAAACAAATCTGGCAAGCGACAAGACCTTCTATACTGATTCTAATGGACGTGATTTCATTGAACGTGTAAGTCAAACAGGCTGAACACTTGAATTCTAGTTATGGTTTTCCACATGAATGTCTCTAATAATTCATACTTTTACAGGTTCGAGACTACAGAGAAGATTGGAACTTGGAAGTAAATCAGCCTGTTGCTGGAAATTATTACCCTGTATGTTTTGTTGAACCACGATTGTTACAAGATGCTACATAGAATTGAAGACACAGTCCTTGAAGTTGTTGATTAATGAAATCTAGTTACATGTTTCAGATCAACCTTGGGATTTACCTGAAAGATAAAAACAAAGAGTTCTCTATATTGGTGGATAGAGCTGTAGGGGGATCCAGCATCAAAGATGGGCAATTGGAGCTAATGGTTCATAGGTTTGATATGTTGTTCAAGCTCAACTGCTTATGCTCATTATGTATCATTGCATGATCAAACTCCACTGTTTCCATTTCCTCTTATAGGAGATTACTTCAGGATGATTCCAGAGGTGTTAATGAGGCACTGAATGAAACAGTTTGCATCCATGATAAGTGTACAGGGTTAACTGTAAGTAAATCCAAGTAGCCTGTGAGTTTTGGGTTGGCAAGGATCATAGTTTTCACATTCATCACATACAATAAATTTTGCAGGTGCTAGGGAAGTACTATTTCAGAATTGATCCTGTAGGAGAGGGTGCTAGATGGCGTCGATCAGTTGGTCAAGAGATATACTCGCCCTTGCTCTTAGCCTTCACAGAGGTGAATGTGATTAAAGAATTGTATTTAGAAGTGTTTGAAAGTTGCCAGTGGACTGAACTTGTGACTCTACTGATGAATATTTTTTGTTCATTTTTCGCATAATTTCTAGAGTGATGGTCACTGGGGAGATTCTCATGCCACTACCTTCTCAGGAATAGATTCCTCATATAACTTACCAGATAACGTTGCAGTAGTAACCCTCCAGGTGCATGTCTTTCATTTCATCAAACATTTGTCCAAAATATGTTTATTCAATGCAACCTAGTACACCCTTCAATGGGTAGTGTAACCCATAAGCAAAGATCTTTTGATATTTGTCCTGAATTTCAATTCCTAATTACGCTGAGCCTCTTAATTGACATTGAAGATTACATAGTTTTTGTTCACTCCTAATGTTAAACCATTTTCTTGTACTCTGCAGGATCTGGGTGATGGAAAAGTTCTCCTTCGGTTGGCTCACCTATACGAGGTACATTATTTTGCTTCTATCTAATTGTGACATGTATGGATAAATTTTTTGAAAAGTACTTTTAAGAGAGAAAAAAAAGTTAAAATTAGTTTATGCTTAACCTAATTTATTGAAGCTCTCTCTTATTAATTTATTTAAAAACTTAAATTTTCGTAAAAGTTAGTTTTAACTTAAGAAAAAACTTATATTATTTTTCCTTTCTAGTTTTTTCTCTTAGAAATTTTTTTAGAGAAATTTATTTAAATATGCCTTTAGTTGTATTACACTCTTGAATGATTTTATCCTTCATATGCTCCTTCCTTGTTTCAACTGTTTTTGAGCCTTGTTTTTTCAACACACTGAATTGTTATTCTTTCACAAATGCAAGATTGACGAGGACAAGCTTCTTTCAGTTAAGGCAACTGTAGAAGTTAAAAAGCTGTTTCCCAACAAACAGGTAAAAAAGAAACATCAGAACTAATACTCCTTTAAAAGCTAGTTGTTTCAGCTTTAGCATGTCATTGTGTAAGGTGTTTCATATGCAATTCCCTCTTGTTCAGATAAACAAGATAAGTGAAGTGAGCTTATCAGCTAACCAAGAAAGAGCAGAAATGGAGAAGAAGAGGTTGGTTTGGCAAGTTAAAGGGTCGCCTCAAGAACCTAAAGTACGGAGAGGAGGACCAGTAGACCCAGAAAAGCAAATTGTAGAACTTGCTCCCATGGAAATACGGACTTTTATCATCAATTTTAGGCACTAAAGGTTCATCAGGAGTATTACTGAAAATTGAAAAATAACTAAATAAGGAATTGTATCAAATAAGATTAAAACTTATTTTGGATATAAATTTAAAAGTGCATCGAAATTTTTTTTTATTAAAAAAATACTGTTTATTTTAAAAATTTATTTTCAAGATTTGTTTGGCTAAAGGTGTATGGACTCAAGTTCATTGCCATTAATAAAAGTGCACTGCTCCTCTCCTTTTTTCTAGGCATCTGTCTAAAATTTGTGACACATATTTTCTTTCGACTTAATTACCATATTAGTTTTTGTATAATTTATTGTGTAGTCTCTAATTATTCATGTTTAGATTTATTAGTTTTGCAATAATATTAAGTCTCTCGTGCTAAATTTTGTCTAAAAATTGAAAGAAAAAAAAAAAAAAAAGAGAAGAGAAATGATACTCCCGATAAATCGTATAGTAATTTGAATAATTTAGAAAGAATTTTTTTTTTTTTTTTATCTATGAACATTATTCACGCTATATTTGAAGACTTTCACTTAATCAAACATTATTTAAATATTAATGAGAATACTAAATCTATTTCATTTTAGAATAGACTTTACAATTACATAATCAAAATACTTGATTAATTAAAAAAAATATAAAATGTAACAAATGATACCGTGAAAATAAATAAGTAATTATAATATTGTATAAATTATTGCATGTATAATTGTATATTACATATTTATCTATAATATATATAAAGAGAATAAATTTTGCCATAACTATTTCCTTCCAAAATTTCTCTCTTACATATTTTTATATACAAATATTATATAATAAAAATTAATATATATATATATATATTAATTATTAATTATTTCAGTTTTAAAATAAATGTAAATAAATTTTACATATAAAATGTAACTACTAATTATTAAGTTATTGATTATTACCTTAAAATTAACATAAAATATTTATATTATAATATTTGATGATAAAAATTCTAGAAATATTAAATATAAAGAGTAAAATGTTTAAAATTTCTCACCCAAAAAATTTCTATCCAAACTTTGAAACTTATTAATTGCCTCATGACCTACCATATTTATTAATTATAAGGTAGTGTTACAAATTAATCATTGTTTACATAGTAGAAAATATTTTCTTACTCATTTCCATCTAAAATTTATAATATACTCTCCTTCAAGAAAGATAATTATTATGTTATTGTATTTAGAATTTTATATTTATTTGACAATTTTAAAACAGATAAAATGACTATTGTCTATGATTTAGACATAAAAAATTATAATTTTTAATATTAAGTATATAATTACTTTATTTTTAATAAAAAATAACCAAATCATTGAGCATTGTACGAGTAATATGCAATTATATATTTAATATTAAAAATAAATTTATTTTTTATATATATTTTATGTCATTTAGTCAAATAAATTAAAGATAGACAAAGATGCATATAGTAGCAATAGTAGAAGTGATGTAATTAAGGAGAATATGGGCAATTTGAAGCATTCATATTTTTTTTCACCAAAATTAAAAGATGACTGGATAACATAAATAAATGTTTTAGGTAGGGTGAGGTGGAAGACCAAAAAGCAAAGAAAAGGAAATATAAACTTGCTACAGCACCTTTAAGAAGATCTTCAATGGCTGTTAGCTTTGAGAATAGTTTAATCCAAATATCAGATCTTATCATTGGAGGAATAGAAAATTACATGTATAGAATAAAAAAAATATCACAATAATTACAACATCACTTCACAGTTCACACTTTAGCAATTTTAGATACTTGGAGGCAACATTTAAGATACTTGGAAGCTCACCTGATGCTCAATATAATGGAACTTTGGATCACTACTGGTTGAGTTTGGGAGTCATATTTTTTGCTTATGAGGTATAGCATTGGGTTCAAGATGCCAGCTGTCCTCAGGTATGCCATACCTTTCAACTCCAAGTACTCTGTAAGCTGAAATTTGATGGGAAAAACTTAGCATCTCTGTTTCACATATTGTTCGAGTTATATCAACCCCCTCCTGTCTTTGCCTCCGGAAAAATGTTTCACAATTTTGTACCTCTTCAAGTTTGGCTACTTCAATCCCATTTTTTTCAAAGAAATTTGAAATAATTTCCACAATCCAATATTGACATTTTTCATAATCGATATGCTCCCATTTTCTATTCCAATTCTTGTACATTGCCCAAATCTGACCTTTCTGGGGATAAATCAGATAATGAGGCATAATTGTAGTATCATGCACATATTTGACTAAATGGGAGAATTGTGACATATCCAGCATGACATTATTGCCATGTTTAAACGTTCCACAAACAATGGGCAGATTTTCTCTCCATTTTTCCCCATTTTCATGAACTAGCTCAGGTTCTAAAATTGTTGCCCAAACTTGCCTGTCTAAAACCATACTATTCACCAGAGCATATTGACGAGGCATGATATCCTCCCCACAATAAATGGCCCAAACTTGACCAGTGGCAAAATCATCTTCTGATTTGAACTTCCCGGCACACAAAGTATTCTCACTGATATCTACTTCAATGGATTCCTCCAAAATTCCCTGTTCAAGGGGAACATCATGATTTGAGCTATCACTACACCTCTCTGAAGTGGAAGCAGAAATCTCATTGGAAGAAATGAGATCATTGTCATGCCTAAAACCATAATGAAAACGCTTCTCTCTGTCTGAAAGCATGTTCAATGCATTCTGTACAACCTCTAGAGCTAACTCAGCTCCAGGAAACTCGTCTTTTACAGCATCTATGGAGTTGACTAGATGATGGAGAGAGTTTAAAGCGTCAGAGTAAGTGAGTGAGGGATATATTATATCAAGAATGCATTGAAAATCAATGTCATTATTTGATATCCTCACACTGGAAGCAAGCAGTAGTATCTCACAGATGGTCAGCATGAGATTAATATTACCAAGTTGTGGGTATAGTAACTGGGCATTAAGTAACTTGTGCCTAGCACAAGTGTATTCTTCATTGTGCATCATGATTGCAGCAACCCACTTCTCCTGAAGAGCCTCCACCTTCTTCTCATTCAACCCTTTCATCTCCTTGGCTTCATCATACATATCTCAACATCCACTTCATTACCACCCACTGACTTCAAAATGAAAAAGACCAACACAATTGGAGGTTGAGAAGTGCGTTTTACTTGTGCAATATATAAAAATGTTTAGGAAAGCTCAAGGGAGATAGTGAACTCTGATATAATCAGAAGCCTTAAGTAAACTCCAAAATTGTGAAGGCAACACATTAACTGTGTGTAAGAGGTGTCCAAATTTGTGAAAGGCGACACAAAAAGGACTGGAACGCGTTTTGCGTGTTCATGTGCCCAGGACAGGATACACCGGAGACAAGACCCTCTTATTTGTTCCTTCAAACTTGGAATCGATGTTGGTAAAAAGAACAGAAATTTCAAAAGTTTGTGGTCCATCTTGATGTTTTAATTTTATTTATTTATTTTTATCTTTTTTTATTTTTTATTATTTTTTTCAAATTAATTCTTTGTATAATTGTTTTAGTTCTTAATAAAATCATAATCTTTTTAGATAATTCTTATATTGAATTCTTTTTCTTCTTATTTTAGTCTATATTAAAATAATAAATAACTCATGAAATACATGTAAGCAAACTGTCGGCTGTAATGGAAAAAGTGTAAGGTATATAAAACTAAAATATCTATATAAATGAAAAAATATATGATATATCTATGATATTTTTTTTCACTTGGCAAGCATAAAACTTATATACATACATTCATTACAAGAAAAATGTCAATTTCCGACGGAAACAAGTAAATTTTCAACGGAATTTGATATTTTCGACGGATTTCCGATGAATTTAAATCTGTCGGAAAAAGTATTATCGAAAAAAAAATCTATCAAAAATATTAATTTTCGTTGGAAATTTCTAATGGAAGTTTCCTTCAGAAAATTTCGTCTGAAATTTTCGACGAAAGTATTTGTCAAAAATTTCTGACAGAATTTTCATCAGAAATTTCTGACAGAAATTCTGTCGGAAATTTCTGGGAGATATTTCCGACATTTCCGGCAAAAATTCTGTCAAAAATTTTTGGGGGACATTTCCGACGGAAATTCCGTCAAAAATTTCTATTTATCAGCATTGTTTATGTTGTCTTTTAATTCAATCATAAATTACTTTTTGTTTTTACAAGAAATTTGTTAATTTTGTATAATAACTGCAATAAAAGACAAACAAACTATTATGTATCATATATTTTTAATTGGTTACTAGTATAAAAAAAATTACATGATGATGGATAGAAATTAAACTTTTAAAATAATAATAAGGAACAAATCAAACAAAATTTATAGAAAATCCAAAATAAAAATAGACAAAAAGGTATTTAACCTAAATTTTATATATATTTTGAAAGGTGAAACCAAAATGCAGGATTGGAATGGTCTCTATCTTGATGGAAAATATAAAGGGTGTGTTGTTTGGAAATATGTTGGAATGAAAGTAAAAGGAATGGTTATGGTGGTGTTGGATTAAACTAACAACCAATGTAACTGCTATAGAAACACACATAGATGGTCAAAGTTAGAATCAGGTGTTTGTTAATTGTGTTGTACGTTAGTGTGACACGGTGTGATTAGAGAGAGAAAATAAAAGAGCCACTTCAGATATTTCTAGCGACAGACATGCAAAATCGTAACCACAGCTTCAAACCTTCAAATGCGCACTCAAAATAACATTACTTTTAACAAAAACTAAACAAACAAATGCCTGTCGTCTTCTTTTTTTTAACTATTCCTTCTTTTACCTCTCTTGAACAATTAGAATTATACTTTTCCCAAAGAAGAAGAAGACGAACAACAACAAAAAAGAAAAAAAAAAACTAGGAAGAATATTCATAAACATTGTTTTTTATTTTTGAAAATGAATTTCTCAAAACTCAACGACTCACCCATGTTCCGGCAACAGGTTCTGTACTGTGTATTGTATTCTTTTTCCCGTTCAATATCTAAACATTATCATTATTCTTGGTGTTGGGGTGCTTTGAAAAAAAAATACAAATTAAAGAACATTGCTGTTACGTACGCATGCATGTCGTGAATATTGATGTTTTTTATTTGCATGCATGGTCATTGTTGTTTAGGAGGGTCGTGTCGTGTGTTTTTATATGGTTGATTTTTTGGTGTGCTTACAACGAATTGGTTGGTTAATTATGAATCATGATGGGTGTGGATGCAGCTCCAGTGCATGGAAGAAAGTTCAGAATCGTTACGCTCGAGATGTTTCAAGTTCTACAAAGGATGTCGAAAGTACACGTGGGTTTTCCATGCCATTGTTTTTGTTTAATTTTTTCAACCTTTCGCACTTTAGAGACTGCATTGCCTCATGTTTGTTCTGTTGGTAATTAATGTAGGATGGGTTACTGGATTAGGTAGTGTTATAATAATACTTAGAAGCATCACAAATTATTTTGAGACATGTTGAAACTCTAAACATGGAAGGATTTTGCTTAAACCTTAATCCTTAACATCTGAACACGTTCTCAATAATTTATGAGAGAAATTTTTGCATGTGCCTATAGCGTGCATATAACTTTATAAATTAGTTTATTAGTTATCAATATTTTATAATTATGTAATTTTTTGTGTCAAATAATTACTTTATATTTATAATAACAGGGAAGGGCTTGGAGAGGCATATGATGGAGACATTGCATTTGCAAGTGCCCTTGAAAGTTTTGGAGGAGGGCATAGTGATCCTTTATTTGTAACTTTGGGAGGTAAGTGTTGTTGATCTTTTTACTCATGTTGCCTTTTAATTATAAACAAAATAAACTTACATATAAACCCAAATTATTTTATTTGTCATATGCTTTCTGCTTAATTAGTGTATTTTGAAGCTATTTCTTGAGTTATATATTGGCCCTGCGCTAACATAAAAAATTTAGGATGAGCGTAACAAGTCATGTATTGTTATTGGATGTATAATATCCAGTTCTGTGCATGATATGTTTATATAGGCCGTTAAAGGAAACTTCTTCAATTCCTTGCATAATGTGGTCAATGATGCTCCAAAATATTCTAATCTTGAGCATGATATGCTTATTTTATCTTTTCCCATGCTTTTTTAACCATCATGCTCTCTTAGAATATTCAATACAACTTTATTTTGTTTTTTGCTATTAGTTTTGATAAACTTTATGTTGGTGTTTATCAGGACCTGTTATGACCAAATTTTCTATTGCTTTAAGAGAAATCAGTACATACAAGGAACTTCTTCGGTCACAGGTAATGATTTGTCTAATGTTTTCAGTGTCTTATTTTTCAGCAATGTATTAACTTGTAACTGATATTGTTAAGTGACTCTATGTGGCTTCTTAGGCGGAGCACGTGCTGAATGATCGGTTACTAAACATGCTAAACGTCGATATGTTAGATGTTAAGGTACGTAGTGAGTAGCAGAAATAATAGTTTGGAGAATCCATATGTTATTGGTTTAATAATGCAAACTAATAACTTAAAGTAATAAAATCATGACTTTGATGAGATAACTTCATTACAAGACTAGCAGTTAAACTATGGACAATAAATTAAAAGCTACCACTGATGGAATTCAGTTTTAAAATTGACACGACTTTCAAAAAGAATAATGCTCCTAAGAGTTGATTTTCTTATATTCAACAAAATAATTATTGTCTTCAGATGATTTGTAATCAATCTCCTCTTCACTTTTCATGCTTCAAATGATGTTTGCAGGAAGCTCGAAGGCGTTTTGAGAAAGCTTCCCTTGTATATGATCAGGTGCTTCTAAATTGCTTACAAAAACTGAACAGTATAATGGTTTCTCCTTCTACTGCATGAGCCTAAGTCTTGATCTTAACACAAATACGACGTTGATTTTATGCTACAGGCACGTGAGAAGTTTATGTCATTGAGAAAAAGCACTAGGATGGATATTGCCACTGTTGTAGAAGAGGTACGTCATGTAGCGTATCTTTGGCATTTTTATTCATGAATATTGTCCTAGCTTGTCATGGGTTACCATGATTTTTTCAATCTAATTTGGTAGAGAGACATTCCAGGAATTGCACAATGCAAGAAGCTCATTTGAGGAAGCTCGTTTCAATCTGGTACTCTTAGTAGAACAAGATATGCTGCTTTGAATAATAGTATGAAAATTTATAAACTTGGCCTTAACTACTCAACACACTTCATCTTCTATTATTCTAGGTTAGTGCTCTTCATAATGTTGAGGCCAAGAAGAGATTTGAGTTTTTGGAGGCTGTCACTGGAGTTATGGATGCTCATCTTCGGTATTATCGTCAGGTAGGTATATGATATGACTCAGTTATATATGGCATTTTCAATATGCAACATTTTTGCAGTAAAAATAGCTGAAAAATATATTTTCTGAATTTCCTTTTGTAATACCTATTATACAACACATTACACTTCTGATGTTAAAAAGTCTTTCCCATGCAGGGATATCAGCTATTACATGAGCTGGAGCCTTTTATTATTGAGGTAAAATACTTTTTTCTCTGTGGATACTTGGATAATAAATGTAGTTTTCTTTTGATTATGAGTCTAAGGTTAGAATACACATTCAAAATGCATGGTGTAATATTTCGCACCAATAACATGTTTAAAAATTTGTTGATACACTTCCTCAAAACTCAAACTATAGGATAATCTGAGTTGTGAATCTCGTGATACCATCAGCATAACCACAACGACATGTTGAGAAAAATTGTGGATTTGAAAACAGTGAACTATTAACATTTTTTATTTATTTACCGAGTGGAATATTTCCTCTCTTGTATTTGACATGTTGCAGGTTTTGGCTTATACACAAAAAGCAAGAGAAAGTTACAATGACGAGCAGATTAGTCTTTGTGAAAGAATGTTGGAGTACAAAAAACACGTTCATCATGAAAGCATGTTGTCCTTGAATGGCCCTTATATCTCTCCCCGTGGTGATGGGAATCCAGTGCAGCCTTTTTCTAGGATATCAAATACAGTGGCAGATGCTGTAACAGAATCTGCTGAAAATGGAAAGGTTGACGTTTCACTCTTTCTCTATGTACTCACTTCATTCTATTGCTTTCATTTCTGAGTCCTGTCTTTTGATCTCTCCATCTGCACTATTTTTAGGTTCAAATCCTTCGCCAAGGATATCTCTCTAAACGATCCTCAAATTTGAGGGGTGACTGGAAGAGAAGGTATTTTGTTCTTGATAGCCGCGGAATGCTTTACTACTTTAGGAAACCATGGAACGGATTACATGTAAGTTTCCACTACAACCATGTATTAAGCGTGTTCGGATAAATTTCTTAATAAGTACTTACATGCAAAGAAAATAAGAAAAATAAATTATTAAGTTTCTATGATAAACTCAAATTAGCTTACACACAAGTTAATTTATGATCTATTTGAATAAGCTTATCTAGAAACACTTTTAAAAGAGAAAAAATAGGAAAAAAAGATTGAAATTAAGCTTCTTTAGAAGCTAAAACTAGCTTATATAAAAGTTAAAAATAAAATTTTAAAGAAATTAATTGGAGAAAGCTTCTTTAAATTAGTTTATGAATAAACTAATTTCAGTTTATGGAGAAGCTTCTTTTATTTTTTCTTCCCGTTTTTCTCTTTTATAAGTGTTTCCAAAGAAATTTATCCAATCACACCCTTATAGAAAATTCTCTCATTTAGCCTCTTTAAAAGCTGATTTTAAACTATGTATAAGTTAATTTTACCAAGTTAGTATACTATCTAAGCTAGGTAGATAATGCTGATTTCATCACGTTTAGCAGAGTAGCAATCAAGCATCTGTACACAGAAATTGTGCCGCTGATAATAGTGCTGGAATTTTGAGTCGCCTGCTTTCTTCACATAACCATGGACTTCTGCTCCCTGATGAAAAATCTGTAGCACGTCATACAGTGAACCTGCTCACATCAACAATCAAGACTGATGCTGAACAGACTGATTTAAGGTTCTGTTTCAGGATTATTTCACCAGCAAAGAGTTATACGTTGCAGGTACTCATTCCAAAAACTTAGTGACATCTGACATGTACTTGCCATTTTATCATTACTCCTTTGTCTCCTCACTAAGGCCAAAATAATGCAGGCAGAAAATGCCGTTGACCAGATGGATTGGATGGAAAAGATAACTGGCGTAATTGCCTCCTTATTAAGTGCACAGACACTGGTATACCATATATTTTTCTTTTGTATTTTGTTTACCTGCAAAAACTCTTGCCATTATCATCCTTTAGCTGTTAACAGAATGAATTTGATTTCTATGTAGTCACAATGTAAAAAGAGAAATTCACTGTAAACTAATTGAAAATCATTGTTAGTATAACTTTTAAAGTAGTTATTATAAAAATTTGCAAACTTACTATACTTCATATTTTGTGATTGAAACCTTTGTTTGATATAAAACAATGATTATGTGACAGACAGATGACTCAGAAAGTGGTTATTGTTACTCTGCGAGCAACCTTTATTTGTTAAAAGGTCCAGATGATGATCGTTCAGGGAGTGGGGATTTTATAAAAAATGAAAAGCCAATTGATGTTCTTAGAAAGGTTGGCGGGAATGACAAATGTGCTGATTGTGGCAAACCTGACCCTGATTGGGCATCCTTAAACCTTGGCATCCTTGTATGCATCGAATGTTCCGGTGTTCACCGTAATCTTGGTGTACATTTATCAAAAGTAAGTAATTGAGATTTCGTATTTAAGACTATGCTATAGTGTTATCACAATAATTTTAGTAAATTTGTGCATAGTACTTCTTTTATTATTACAAGTGAAAACAAAAGGCTTTCTGTTTTCAATCCTCAAATTTTCTTTTTCACAGGTAAGATCACTGACACTTGATGTAAAAATATGGGATTCCTCTGTCTTGACAATGTTTCAGTCACTGGGGAATCTCTTTGCAAACTCAGTGTGGGAAGAACTGTTGCATTCATCAAGTACTTCCCAAACTGATGAAACTCTTGATGGGTAAGTTTTGCCATAATTGACGGGATTAACTATTTAAATTTTCACTAACATGGACCTTGCAATGTAGTTCATCCAAGCCACAGAGAAAGTTATTTCATGCGAGAAAACCATCACATGACGACCCTATTTCACTAAAGGAGAGGTTCATCCATGCAAAGGTAATAAACTCAAAATCAGTAGAAAAAAATCAGTAGAAAAACTTTCAAAAGCTCTTCAAAACTTGTAACCAAACAAACTCAAAATGAATCTTTTAGACACCCTTGGTTAACAACACTCGGCTAACACTATGTTATAAAGAGTTATGAAGATCGTCCATTCAGAGAACTTGAGTTTTTGTATAATAGCTTCTTTTTTTTATGAAGGTAGTTGTATAACAGCTTCTTGATTACTTGATCTTGTATATTTTTGTGCTTCACAATACTTGATTCCAACTTCTAGCAGCTGGAAGAAATCTAATTGTTGCAGCATTACTTGAATTGAATGTGTTGGAGTTGGAGATAGAACATGATGTTTTTTCTTGTTGCAGTATTCTGCGAAAGTCTTTGTTCGCCAGACACCCAACAACAACCGTCTGCTTTCGACGGCACAACAGGTGGTAGAAAGCATCAGTGCCAATGACAAGAAAGCAGTGTACCGGCACATTATCAAATCAGATGTTGATGTCAATGCCATTAGTAGTGAAGTTATATATGGTATATGTTCTTATCATCAAAATACTATTAAGTGTTGATAAAGGAGAGAGTCCTATTAGAATAATAATGAATTGTTGTGCAGGGTTTTGTACTAGCATGCCTTCTTCACCTAATCCAAACATGTCATATGAAAGTAAAACTCAACTAGCTAAGGACATACAAGATGGTTCTAGTGTGCTTCACCTGGCATGCCTAACAAGTGACGCTGCAATGGTGGAGATGCTCCTACACTATGGAGCAGATGTAAATGCTATTGACTCTAAAGGGAGGACACCACTACATTACTGCATTATGAGAGGGAAGACTGCAAATGCAAGAGTTCTTATTACAAGGTAGATAAGACCTGATTAGATAAACTTCTCTTCAAGTTTCTAAGAGGAAAAAATAAGAAAATAAGCTGATTTTAATTTATGGAGAAGTTTATTTTAATTTTGTTTTTCCTATTTTTCTTTTTTATATTACCTGTATGTAGGCTCACATGTTATTTTTATCATTATCCCATGAGGAATATTGCATTGCATGTCGACTTTATACTACTTATTCTTAACGTGCCTTGCAAACTTCAGTTTCCATGATAACTTTCCCATCATGTATTATATGATATCTCACATATTGTGTTCATACTTACTCAGAAAATTTACTAAAAGAAATTGCCAATTATTTCAGGGGGGCCAATCCCAATGCCGTAGACAAAGAAGGCAAAACTCCTCATAAGCTTGCACCAGAACCTGACACTGTTGGCAAAGATATTCTTAACAAGCAAATAGCATGCCCCCAAGACTCAATGGAAAAATGATTTTTGGATACTTTGTGTCAATCTACACCTAAAGAGATAAAGAGATAGAAGAGAGAAAAATGTAAATGCAATAGGTGATATGATGTAAAAAAAGAAAAAGAAAGATTGGAAAAAAAATGAAGTGTCAATTAAGTGTTTGTAAGGTTAGATACAATACTATATGTACTAATAGTGTTGTTCTTAAATCAAAATTATAGTTTTATCTGAGTAATACACATTGGCATTTAATAAAATTATTTTATACACGTATTACTTAGATGAAACTTTAATTTTGATTAAAGAAGAGTGCTGATAGCACCTATGGTACTGCATATAAATTTTATCAAATGAAAATTCATGTCTCAGATTTTTCTCTTGGTCCAGAAATCAGAAGCCCAAAGGCCCAACCCAGAAGTTTGTTCGTTCATAGAGAGAGAACTAGCCCAAGGGGCCTGAAGCTTGTGGGTTGTTTTACTGGGCCATGTTAATTTTCAACTAAAAAGCCTGAGTTTTGCAACATTCAATCTTTTCAAATTTTTGCATACAGAGGCTTAAGTTCATCGTACCGTTAAGGGGGAAAATGTGGTTTAAGACTTTGGTTTCCCATTTTAATCACGTGACGGAATTGTAGTAGTATGAGAATCAATTACAAAAAACTATAGAGAAACACGAGACCGTGAAAAATTCCTGGATCGTGATTATGTCACTGATTATGACAGCATTTTTCAGATTCAATGCATGTGTTTTTTTTTTTTCTTCTTTTTTTGTGAATTTATTAGATTCAATGTTCGTAACATAATTACGAAACTCGGTACATCTTAATTTTCACATTTGACGTAACAATCGCTAGTTAAATCATGAATTGGTAAGGTTCATTTAACCATAATTTTTACGTGTTCCGTAATTTTGACCCGTGTTACATGCTATATTTTAAATTAATTTGACATTTAGGAAGGATTTGTTTATAATTAGTTCCTAAATCAAACTCTGTAACATTATATTTAAAGATTTATTAGGTTGAACCCTTTTCAACATATAACGATGAGCCTCCCCCAGTATGTTCATATTGTTACTATTTTGAAGACATGGTATAATGAAAAAGACAGCATAAGTTGACACAAATGAAACTCGCGTTTTCTATTAAGATTTAGGATCAAATATTTACATGTCACTTTTTATACTTAGGTAACAACTTTTTTTAAAAATATTTTTTCACTTGAGTTGACATTAATTTTCATTAAGAGTCTCTTTTGATAATTTCACATGTCATTGATGTCCTGTCTGTTAATATAAGATGTATCTATTTATTCTACCATTTTCCATCATCAAGATATATAATTAAAAATAAAACTTATGGTTTGCTCCTACATAACAATTTGTAGATTAAATTAAAAAAAAAATGAAGTAAATTAGCAATAGGATTCTTTCTTTAAAAAAAATAGAACAAATAAGAGTCCTCAATAAGTATAAGCATAAAATGTGCTATAACTTATAAGCAATACAGATTAATTATAGGGTGAGAGAGGCAGGTAAGTCTCTCACAGTGAGTGAACACTCCGACTAATTAAACATTAAAATTATGCCAATGTTTTTTCACTATCATACAAGTTGCATTCCTTAATCTTATTCGATTGCATTTGATTTGCTAAAATATATGAGACAAGACAACTATTTTTGTTTCATATTTAATTTAAAAAAGCATCATGAACAACACAAATTAAAGATTACATATATAACAAAACAAAAATTTTGCCTTTTATTACTCAAATAACTATGGAACAACTTTTTGTTCCACGTACAAACTATTCAAAAGATCAATATATTCACGCTCTTATTTTTTTTTATCTCGTGGACCTCTCTCTTCCCTCTCCCCCACTTGCACTCTCACTCTCTTAATCTCTTAATACCAATAACCTTATCCTCTTCAATCCACACTTATATACCTATTTCTTAAATGTGGTTCTCAACTTTCATTCTTTCATAGTTTGAGAACAAATTTTGTATAACATTGCTAGCTTTATATATATAATATTAAATGTTATTATATTGTAAAATTTATTTTACTTGTACTGTTCATAGTTCTTCAAACAAGATACAGGTTAAGAAATTATTCTGTACTATTCTTTTTGTTTTGCAACTCACTGTGCACCAAACGCACCCTATGCGACATTCCCTCCTCGTTTCTTAATTATCGGAATATGATAAACGAATGCCAAATTGAGTTGATTCCATTTTTTGTCATAATATGATGAATGTGCTTTTAGGTATGTAGATGGGGTTTTAGGCTTGTTGAACGTAATACACTTTGATGTAACCTGCATCGTCTTCTCCTTCTTTCAAATTTTACTTTTCTAAGAATAATTTTAGATAACAAAAGTGTTAAGTTTTTTTTTTTTGAAACACTAAAAACGTTTTTTATTTCACAATTTGGATGTGATCATTATCTATGTTTCATGTCATTTTTAGAAGCTAATAGTTATAAATATAATTAATTCACATTCCAAACATGATTCCTCCTTTCTCAATGAGTTTTTAAATATGTTATAAATGAATTTATTTAATATTTTACTTATCAAAATATTAGGTTAATTCTGTTTAAAATTAAAAATAATTTTAAAGTTACTTTTAAAAACCATTAAAAACGATTTAAAATTTAATTTTACAAAATAAAGTTTATTTAAAATTAACTTTAATGCAAACACATACTTAATGGTCTATTTAGTAGTTAGTTTCAACAAAATTAATCATTAAATAGGTATTAGTATTTGATTAGAAGATTCTAACATGTAATTAATTTTTAATTTGATAGTCTTAAAATATTAACTTTTATCTATCATTTTACTCAATTAAAAAAATATAATAAATCGAGATAATTACTCTGTAAATCAATTAATGATATAAGTAAATGATAAAATCTTATATATCAATTTTGTAAAATTAAATTTGAATTAAACTTGTATTTCTAATAAAATTTGACAATAAAATAAAAAGTTTGGTACAAAATATTATAAAAAAAATTAAAAAAAAAGTTGGCAAAAATGATTTTTTTTTCTCTTCTTCTGGAATTGGCAGACATATTTACTGTGTAACTGTCGTATGATTTTATTTACCACCTAAAAGCAAAAAATATCCATGACAGTTACCTTGAGATTAATTGGCAGACATATTTACTGTGTAACTGTCGTACGAGAATTGTCAGATGTACAACGTATCTTTATGAATGTTGCTTTATTAGGTTAAGTATATTTACTGCTGTCTCCACTCATAATAATTAGGGTAGCACATGACATGACTACTTAGCAGTTGCCCCTCCCTCTCTCTCTTTCAAGTTTGCAGTATATTTGATAAAATTAGTATTTGAAAAATATCTAAATTTCAATTTTATATTAATTAGAAAAAAGTCAGTTAAAAAATATATAAATAATAATAATTTTTATCTTATAAATTAATTTTATAGAACCGAATTAGGTTTATAACTCAAATTTTAAAATAATATCAGAATTATCTGTATATTCACTCTAAATAAATCATTTATCATTCATATAAGTATTGAGTCCAAAAATCATACATGAAAGAGTATAATATGAAAAATCTTAGTCCAATATATTTTAGATTATTAAAATTATTTATCAATTAAATCACACATTAAATATTAATAAAATAATTAAAGAATATATAATATTATACAATAGTAGAGTGAGTTGATAGTGCATCCATATATAGAAACAATAGGCACGAGTTATTTGTTGCGATATCTTTTCTGCCAAGTGATTTTGGATGATTAAAATTCATTTGAAGCATAGGCCTCATTCTCATAACATAACATATATATATATATATATATGCATAAATGAGAGTATTTAAATAAAGTAACATCCTCTATGGTCCAAAGTTGTGGGTTAGGGGTTTGACAGAAAATATATAACGGGAAAGAAAGAATGAGCCGTTTATGGTTTAGAAGGTGTTTGAGTCTTGTGAAACTTGCCATCTTATTTTCAGCATTATTTGGTTTCTCTACTATGATGTGGACCAATCTGAAAACGACCTCTTATCCCTAGGCTTCAACATTATCCACCGTCACCAAACCAAAAACAAATATCATATATATGTTTGGTTCATCTACTCAACCTCTTTGAACCTACAAACTAAGACTCTAACAACACATGTTTCGGGTGCAATCATTGCCCCAAAGAGATCGTCTTGGTCAAAATTGACTACGATAGAAAGAGACTCAGATTGAGATTGCACCCATGCAAAATTTTAGTAATTTCCAAATGAAACCACGACGCCAAGTGGTGCAATTATGTGAACAAATCTTGTGACGTTCCAGCTGCCAAACCCCCCATACTCATTCTCTCTTCTTTCTCTTACCTCACAAACCACTTGCTTTCTGCTTCCAAATACTTCGTTTTTGCATCATTTCATTTATGTATAAATTGTGTCCATCTCCATTGTGCTAGATGGCTAGTTTACCACACAATTCAATGTGGAGCAAGCATTGCAGTTCCAAAACTAGGTGCGAATCAGTTTTTCTATAAACACTTTTATGAAGAAAAAGAAAAGTATAAGTTTCTTCAAAAAAAATTAAAACTTGCTTATATATACATAATGAAAAAAAAAATATTTCATTTTAACTCTTTCAAAAGTTAACTTTTAACTTAAGAGAGATTTTTTTTTTTATCATGTCACTTCTATCTATTAATCCATTGAATTAGAAACTAATCTTATTTGCGATAATATGATTGTTGATGATCCAACGAGTTTTCTCAATGAAGAAACTAATTTTAGTTTATGAAAAATTTATTCCATTTTTTAATTTACTTTTTTCTTTAAGAGATATATAAAAGATTATTTAAGCTTAAGTTAATACATAAACAAATATTCAACAAAAGACAATAATTATATATTTATAAGGCATTTAATTAGAAATACTCGTTTATATATGTTCTTCTATAGATATTGACTATTTCAAAACGGTTGGGTGTGAACTAGACAACATTTAAGTTCATGACTTCACAAGGATGTTTATTATGTGGTTTTCATACCTAGAAATTGAGGATATGGGTGGCTGCATAAAGTGAACCTACACGTGGGAATAAGTTTTAGGTTGGTTTATTATCTTAGAAACTCATTTAAGAAAGAAGGAATAATAAAAAGGTAAAAGAATGACATGCACACTCATATCTTGTTGAGGTTTATTTTATTTCCTTAAAATAACAATATTATCTGTCTTAGCCCATGTTTGGCTGTTGAATTTTGGTCTTTTCTGAAGATTACAAGGAGGCATGGTGTTGGTGTTTTTCTTCTTTCCATTTTTTCTCTTTTTGTTGCAAAGTTTTAATTTGACACGCTGCATTCTACTTTTGAAAATGTCATATAATTGAAGGTGTTCTTGGGCCATGAGAGCCAGAAATTATGAAGCCCCACTCCGAGGCCTAATTAATGCCCTTCACATACTCTCAGATTCAAATCCCACGGGGAAAGTATGGCACATGCCATGTAGGGTTAAAATGTGTACCATATCATTAGTGCCCTCATTTTCTCACCAACGACTCCAACAATGCTCCAAATGCTTGTTCTCCTTTCCAAATTAAAATTTACCCTCTTTTTTTACTTTTCTGTTTTCCTTTCTTGTATACTTTTATTACCCCTTTTTAGTTTATTTTGTACTTTTCAGAAGAAAAAATGGGTATAAAAAAATACTATAATCAAAAGATGAGTTGTTTATCGAGTTGCATTATGTCACTAGTTGA